ATATACCAAGCAAGAAAACTTGTGTTTTCCAGTCTAGCCTGTTGGGGCACCATGCCCTGTCTCCAATGTCCACCCTCATCATTCCCTGGGAGTACTTCATTTCTTCTTGTGGCTGAATAATCCTCTGTGTAGACAAGAGGGCTTCAAAAGACCCATGGAGCAACTCCATTATCTTTTCATTCCATTTTTTCCTGGAAATTTTAAAAAAGAAACCTTTGGTTGTGAATTAGGTGAAGGTTACCGAGCAGAACTTCAGTTTTGCATTTAACATTTCATGCACATGTTGTTTCAGACTGCCCTTTGTGGTCCCCTCAGTGTACCATCACTCAACTAACTTCTTCCCTGATTCCGATTTCCATCTTTCCGAACCCTCTGAACTTTGTCCTTAGGTAAATAAATGCTGCCCCTTTTTTTTTAATGTTGCCCTTTTGATCTTAAAGGGTTGATTATATTTACACAGGGGTGGGTGCTGTTCCAACCCTGAAGGGTGACGAAAGGCCATAGTTGTGAGGGTCTTTCTGACCAGTATCCACTAACTTTTTGAAGCTCTCTTTTATATCATGTTTTTTCTATCCATTTATCTTTTGATGGGCATTTGTTTTCCCCCCACCTTTTGGAAAAACATCACTATGATTTCGGAACTACACAGTATGGAATTTTTATAACTTTTGTTGAATTTTTCTATTCCTAACTTAGGAAAAACATCGTTATTTCTTAGTTTAAAATTTTTTTAATTTAGGTTATAGTAAATACTTTTGAGTAGGCTTTTTTTTAATAGTAGGCATTTTAGAAAACATTCACAATGTGAAACTTTGGGTTACAATACCGGATATCAACAAAGATAGGATACTGAGTATAAACAAAAGTTTTTCTTTAACATTTATGGTACATGGACTCCCAGACCTTGACAAGACGAAGAGCGCTTCTTTGAGATTGTAAGAGTACAGCCCAGGGGGTGATGGGAAATGAGAACAAATGAGATTTAGAATCGAGATTTCTCTTTCTCTTTTACACATACGAGATAAGTCTGTCCCAGGGAACACTAGCACACCCAAACAGTGAACGGAAGCAACTCTGGGTGAAGCTTAAAGATACCTTATACTTAAATTGGCCCACAGCTTTTCATCGGTTCAAAATGCATTCTTTACAGACTCTCTCTTGATCTTTGCCACAACCCTTTAAAATGAATCTTTTCAGTTGTCAGTCTTGTTTTATGGCTGGAGAAGCTGAAGTCACAGAGGAGGATCAGTTACTTCATCCCTTTCTCAGTTGTGCCGTAACTGAATTATTTCTGCTAGCTCTTATCTCAGCAAGCCTTGCCGGTGATTTCTAGAAAGTGAACACAGGTGAAAGGAAAAGTGGCCCTGAGGAAAGAGGAGTTAATGGATGCCTCGGAGGTAGGAAAATAAGATCATTGTGAGACTTTACAGAAAACCGGCCCTTTAGCAGAATCATATGCAGCTGAGAAAGGGAGGAACGACTTTTAAGGAGTTACGCTTTTAGTAGCAATAGGCTTGTAGGTTAAAGAGAGAAAGTTCTCTTTCCTTCAGTATTGAAACATCGACACCATTGCGTGTCAGAATAGGACTTGCTCCATAAGGGCTCATTGAGCCCTGATGCTGTATTGACTCCACATTGGCCCATTAACCACAAGGTTAGGAGTTTAAAATCACTAGCCAATTCATGGAAGAAAGATGAGACTTTCTCCTCCTTATAAAGGGTTATAGTCCTGGAAACCCACAGGCGCAGTTTTACCCTGTCTTACAGCGTCACTATGAGTCAGAATCCACTCTATACCAGTGAGGGAGTGAGGACTTTTGATATACTGGTATTTAATTAACAGTGTGGAGAATTATATTTTGTAATGATAATTAACTTGCTTACTATCTCTTGGTGCTAGGGACTGCCTTTTATTTCTTTCGAATTCTATTGTCTGTTACTTAGTCCCCTCAGGACTTAGATACTTCCTTTGAAGGGAAGGAGAAGTGAGTCAGAAGTCTGACTCAGAGGTAGGTTCCAATTCCACTTTTTGCTCTGTGACTTTCAACAAATCACTAAAGCTCTCTGGGCTTCAGTTCTTCATCACTCTTTTAAGGTTTTATTGGCACATAATTCACATACCATAATTTAGTAGTTCAGTCATGCTAAGAAGAGTTGTGCAATCATCACCACAATCAATTTCAGAAAGTCCTTTTCTCTTTAAAGACTGAATGAGAACTACTACATCTCTAAATTGTTAGTGCCACTTGATATGTTGCAGTTCATTGACTATGACTAAGTGAAGACGTGGCATCTGTTCTCTGCAGGCCCTCTGGCCTTGTGACCCTGTTGTTTCTAAATGTTCTCATTCCACTCAATGAAAACTAGATGGATTGTCATTTTGCCCAACCTACTCTTTTGAATTATATTCCTTTTTAATGATCATTGTTTTTCTTATACTATAAAAAGAAAAGTGGAAGATATCAGAGGTAGTTTTTACCTTTTAGAAATAACTAAGAGAAAAATGGGGGAGGGAGGGAAAAAAGAGGAGCTGATACCAAGGAATCAAATAGAAAGTAAATTTTAGAAAATAATGATGGCACCATATATACAAATATGCATGATACAATTGATGTATGGATTGTTATAAGAGCTGTAAGAACCCCAATGAGCTAATCTTTTAGTTAAAAAAAGAGAAACATGTATAAACTACTGAAAAAAGTAACTTGCAGCCAAAATGTTTAACTATTAAACTCCTAATTCCAAACCATATAAGGTATGGGTCAAAGTATAATGGAAATTAGAAATGAAAGATAATAAGCATACTATTCATCAGTGAAAAAGAAAAAGACTCACTATGGGATCAGCATGGGGGAGCAATATAAGAACTTTGTAACTACATATGCTTAGTTTTTAATCTACATTTTAAATCTACATTTAAAGATCATGACCTAAATGTAAACTTTAGAACCATCAATATTATCAGTGAAAAATAAGGGACAAATGTAGGGGCCCTAATATATTGACATAAGCATACTATCAAACATGCACATAACAGAAGACAAAGTGAATGGGACCTTCTAAAAAATAAGAAACTTACGTATAGCAAAAGGCTTCACACAAAAGGTAAAAAGAAAACTCACATAATAAAAAAGAAAATTGACAATGACATTGTTGGACTAGAGATTAATTTCTAAACTCTATAATAAACTTTAATACATCATCAAGAAAAAGACAAATAATAACCCAATGGGCAAAGGGCATGAACAGTTTACCAAAGAAGTTATTTACATGGCCAATAAATAGAGAAATGCCCATGATCACTAGCTATCTGAGATCCAAATTAAAGCAGTGATGTCATACCAGTGCACTCCAGCATAGGTATCAAAGTTTTTTTTAAAAACAAGACAGCAAGTGCTAGAGAAGGGTGTTGAGAGACTGGGACCTGCATACCCTGCTGGTGGAACTGTGGAAAGCGATGTGGCAATTCTTCAAATAACTGTGAAAAAATATATACCGTCCAGTAATAGCACGACTTGGTATATTTCCTATAATAACAACAAAGCACAAACAGATATATGCACACTCGTGTTCATCACAGCATGATTCACAATAGCAAGACGAGGGAGACAGCTTGAATGCCCATTCCATTGTTGGAAGAACGGATAAATGTTGGTTCATACACACAATGGAATACTACCCGCCATTAAAGAATAATGGTGAAACACCTCCTGTCATAAATGAACTTAGAGGTCATTTCACTGAGTGAAGTTAGTCAAAAGCAAAAGTACAAATATTGTAGGAGACCGCTGTTTAAAAAAAAACAACGATTTTCATAACAACAGAAACTGACTTTGATGGTTACCAGTGGTGGGAAGGGAAAGGTCGAAAGGGGAAGTAATAGGCTAGATGGTGTTAATTTTGGTTTAAAGGAGAAGATAACATACAAGAGGAAGATGGGGGAAAAAGTGGGGGGAAATGATGGGAAACAGCGAGCTGGAGGGGGGGGCCCCACTGTTGACAAGTTGTTGAATGCAAAAATGATGCATTCAAAAAAAAATGCAAAAGTGTAGACTTCCACCTAATTTACAATAAAATGTTTTTTGGGAAAAATTATTCATGATAAGATTGTGGGAATTTTCATTCCTAAGCATAGAAAATTGTGATATTTGAGCTAAATGATTAGTTTATTTCAGCATTTCAATTTTTAAAATGTCTTTCCCTTCTTCCCAGGCATAGGCAATAGCACATTTTTTACAAATAAGTTGACTTGAACTTGAATCTGCATCTTTGCCTACCCCCAATCAATGATGTGAATGTAGTTTAGGAAAGATAAAATACATTATTAGGAAGAGTGGGAATTCAGTTGATGTTACCTACTTATTTATTTATTTTGCTGTTCCAATGGTCTCTTTGAGAGAATGGGCACGGTAGAGGTGGGGGAGGGGGACTAGGGACTGTACTGTGATGATTAGATAGATGTGGCAGTTGTCTGATGAGTCCAGATAGGAATTTACAATGAGATTCCTTGTCCGAGACTGTCACACAGTAGGTAGGGACATTGCTAGCTTTTCCCAACCCATTTTCCTCATTTTTAAAAAGGGATACTTTTCATGCTTTGTGTCAACATGGCCGTTGTGAGGGTGTGGAAGGAGTTAATAAAGCCAGACCCACTGCTCAGGCTGATTCCAAGTCATAAAGACTGTGTAGGATAGAGTAGAACTGTTCCATAGAGTTTCCGAGACTGTACATCTTTATGGGAGCAGACAACCGCATCTTTCTACTGCTGAACAGCTAGTTTCTTGACTCATCGACCTTGTGGTCAGCAGCCCAACTAACCGTGAGCCTCCTTAACCCGTTAATGCCATCAGTGCTCCTTAGTAAAGCTAAAGGCAAATGCATGTTATTACTAGATACAGCTATGCTTAAGGAGCCCTGGTGGTGGTGTGCTTTAGGTTTGGACCTGCTGGCTACAAGACTGGCTGTTCAAACCCACCAGCTGCTCAGCAGGAGGAAGAGGTTGTCTACTCCTGTAAAGGTTTACAGTCTCAGAAACCCTATATTGAGTTGCTATGAGTTGGAATCAACTCAATGGCAGTGTGGTACAACTATGTTTTAATCAAGACCCATTTCTGATAAAAGAATAAAGGAATTATATTGAGATGTTGGGTCAACTATTTATTGTAATAA